CCTTGTTACAAGGTCATAAGTTACGCTGCGTGGCGTGTGCGAACAGCTGGAACACAAACAAGTTCTAATACAACGTATACACATAGCATACGTCTCTGCACCTTGTTACAAGGTCATAAGTTGCGCTGCGTGGCGTGTGCGAACAGCTGGAACACAAACAAGTTCTAATACACCGTAAACACATACATCTCTGCACCTTGTCAACTATTTTCTATACAGCCAGTAGGTCTGCATCTCCTGCAGACAACTAGTAGAAGTTAGTTTTGTAGAAGCCACAGGACCAGGCGTGACTGGACCTACGTGTAGACGTGCCAAGACTGAACAAGCAAGACCAAGACGGGGACGCATAGAAATGAACAGTGACCAAACATCTGAATTAAGAAAACAATACATGCACACGTGAGCCACCTACTAAACGCCAACACAATTCTGCGTGTATTATCGAGCCGTCTTAGCTGTTTGTTCTAGGCTTGCAGGGTAATCGCATATATTTGACTAATTATAGGTGTTGTGTATAATTATACGTATTTAGTCCAACTATAAGTGTCTGATAAAAGTATACTTGTTATGTGTGTTTTTTTTAATTGAGTTTAGTGTTTGCAAATGTTTTAGTTGAATTCTTTAAACACAATGTCAGTGTCTTAGAGAGATTTTTTTTTCTACGCTTCTTCGATTAATCCACCAGAGCAGTTTCTGCCAAATGGTAACAGCTCTCATTATGTAACACCTAGATAACAGCTCTCATTATGTAACACCTGGATAACAGCTCTCATTATGTAACACCTGGATAACAGCTCTCATTATTAACACCTAGATAACAGCTCTCATTATGTAACACCTAGATAACAGCTCTCAGCATGTAACACCTAGATAACAGCTCCCATTAATTAACACCTGGATAACAGCTCTCATTATGTAACACCTAGATAAGAGCTCTCAGCATGTAACACCTGGATAACAGCTCTCATTATGTAACACCCAGATAACATGTAACACCTGGATAACAGCTCTCAATATGTAACACCTAGATAACAGCTCTCAATATGTAACACCTAGATAACAGCTCTCATTATATAACACCTGGATAACAGCTCTCATTATGTAACACATGGATAACAGCTCTCATTATGTAACACCTGGATAACAGCTCTCATTATGTAACAGCTGGATAACAGCTCTCATTATGTAACACCTAGATAACAGCTCTCATTATGTAACACCTGGATAACAGCTCTCATTAAGTAACACCTGGATAACAGCTCTCATTATGTAACACCTAGATAACAGCTCTCATTATGTAACACCTAGATAACAGCTCTCATTATGTAACACCTGGATAACAGCTCTCATTATGTAACACCTAGATAACAGCTCTCATTATATAACACCTGGATAACAGCTCTCATTATGTAACACATGGATAACAGCTCTCATTATGTAACACCTGGATAACAGCTCTCATTATGTAACAGCTGGATAACAGCTCTCATTATGTAACACCTAGATAACAGCTCTCATTATGTAACACCTGGATAACAGCTCTCATTAAGTAACACCTGGATAACAGCTCTCATTATGTAACACCCAGATAACAGCTCTCAGCATGTAACACCTGGATAACAGCTCTCAATATGTAACACCTAGATAACAGCTCTCATTATGTAACACCTGGATAACAGCTCTCATTATGTAACACCTAGATAACAGCTCTCATTATATAACACCTGGATAACAGCTCTCATTATGTAACACATGGATAACAGCTCTCATTATGTAACACCTGGATAACAGCTCTCATTATGTAACAGCTGGATAACAGCTCTCATTATTAACACCTAGATAACAGCTCTCATTATGTAACACCTGGATAACAGCTCTCATTAAGTAACACCTGGATAACAGCTCTCATTATGTAACACCTAGATAACAGCTCTCATTATGTAACACCTAGATAACAGCTCTCATTATGTAACACCTGGATAACAGCTCTCAGCATGTAACATCTAGATAACAGCTCTCATTATGTAACACCTAGATAACAGCTCTCAGCATGTAACACCTAGATAACAGCTCTCATTCTGTAACACCTGGATAATAGCTCTCATTATGTAACACCTGGATAACAGCTCTCATTATGTAACACCTAGATAACAGCTCTCAGCATGCAACACCTGGATAACAGCTCTCATTATGTAACACCTGGATAACAGCTCTCAATATGTAACACCTAGATAACAGCTCTCATTATGTAACACCTGGATAACAGCTCTCATTGGGTAACACCTGGATAACAGCTCTCATTATGTAACACCTAGATAACAGCTCTTATTATGTAACACCTAGATAACAGCTCTCATTATGTAACACCTGGATAACAGCTCTCATTATGTAACACCTAGATAACAGCTCTCATTATGTAACACCTGGATAACAGCTCTCATTATGTAACACCTAGATAACAGCTCTCAGCATGTAACACCTGGATAACAGCTCTCAGCAT